GGGGGACAGGCAGGAGGGCACAAAGGGCTCTCAGAGACAGGTTTTATCTGGGAGAAATGAAATGTGGGGTGGATCCTCATGGATGAGGGCAGGGTAAGTTTCACAGCTGAAGGGTTAATGGTACGTTCGATGGGGAATGGGCCGATGAATCTAGGGCAAAGCTTCTTTGGGGTATCTTTAATGTTGATGTTGTGTGATGAAAGCCATACCTTCTGTCCAACGTGGTAGGTGGGGGCTGAGGCTCGACGTTTATCTGCAAACTTCTTGTTCCGTGTTGCGGTGCGGAGGAGGGCCTCCTTGGTCTGTCGCCAGATCCTGCGGCATCGGCGTAGGTGATGCTGAACAGAAGGGACTGCCACCTCAACTTCCTGACTGGGGAACAGCGGCGGTGAGTAGCCAAGGAATGCTTCAAATGGGGACAGGTTAGTAGTGGAGGAGGTTAGAGAATTGTGGGCATATTCAATCCAGACCAGATGCTGATTCCAGGTTGAGGGATTATTATTGATAACACACCTTAGGGTGGCCTCCAATTCTTGGTTACATCTCTCAGTCTGACCATTAGAATGAGGATGGTCACCAGATGAGAGACTGACCGAGGCCCCAAGAGCTGTGCAAAATGACTTCCATACTTGGGAGATGAATTGAGGACTTCTATCCGATACAATGTCCACAGGAATCCCATGTATGCGGAAAACGTGGTGAACCATGAGTTGAGCGGTCTCCAGGGCAGTAGGAAGCTTGGAAAGTGGAACAAAATGTGCAAACTTTGAAAATCGATCAACAATAGTCAGGATTGTAGTATTACCTGCAGAGGGCGGTAGACCAGTGATGAGATCTAATGCTATGTGGGACCAGGGTCTACTAGGGGTAGGTAGTGGTTGGAGGAGGCCAGCAGGCGGTTGGCTACAGTGTTTACTTCTGGCACAGACAGGACAGGCCGCCACATACTCTCTAATGTCCTTGTGCATCTTGTTTCACCAAAAATGTCGCCTGCAGAAAGACAGCATGCGGTTGAAACCGGGATGGCAGGTCAGTTTTGATGAGTGGACCCATTCCAGAACCTGTTTTTTAGAGGAAGCAGGAACAAACAATCTATTGGGGGGTCCAGTACCAGGGTCGGGATCTGTTTGTTGAGCTTCCCTGATAACCTTTATAATGTCCCAGGTGATCATACCAACCATGCATGCTGATGGCAGGATATTCACATCTGCCTTGGAAAGTTCTGAGGAGGAGAACTGATGAGACAAAGCATCAGGTTTTACATTATGAGAGCCTGGGCAGTAGGTAATGAGGAAATTGAAGCGGGCGAAAAATAATGACCACCGAGCCTGTCTAGCATTTAACCTTTTAGCATTCTGGATGTAAGCAAGATTCTTATGGTCTGTCCAGATGATGAAAGGAAGTTCAGTTCCCTCTAACCAGTGCCTCCATTCTTCTAGGGCTAGTTTTATGGCAAGGAGTTCACGGTTACCCACATCATAATTCTGCTCAGCTGGGGACAGACGTCGGGAAAAAAATGCACATGGGTGTAATTTTCCATCCTCCTCAGCTCGTTGCGAGAGGACAGCCCCGACCCCAGAATCAGAGTCATCGGTTTCAAGGATAAACTGTTTAGCTGGGTCTGGGTGGGAGAGGATGGGAGCAGATACAAAAAGCTTCTTTAACTCATTGAATGCCATGTCGGCTTTAGAAGACCAGGAGAAAGTCCTAAGGGTAGATGTAAGTTGAGTGAGAGGAAGGGCAATACAACTGTAGTCTTTGATAAAGCGCCTATAAAAATTGGCGAAATCAAGGAACCTTTGCAGTTGCTTGCGGTTCTCAGGTGTAGGCCACTCAGAGACTGCCCTTACTTTCTTAGGGTTAGATCGAACAAGTCCTTCTTCAAAAATGAATCCAAGGAAGGACACAGAGTGCACATGAAAGTCACATTTTTCAGCCTTGACAAACAACTTATTTTCCATTAGTCTCTGGAGTACTGATCTATCATGCTTGGTGTGTTCAAGGGGGTTCTTAGAATAGATCAGGATGTCATCCAAGTAGACAAATACAAAAACATTAAGGAAATCCCTCGGAACATCATTCACCAGTGTCTGGAAAACAGCAGGGGCGTTAGTTAAGCCGAATGGCATGACCAAATACTCAAAGTGGCCCAAGGGTGTCTTAAAAGCTGTCTTCCACTCATCCCCCTCCCTCATGCGCACCAGATGGTATGCGTTACGCAGGTCCAGTTTAGTGAATATGGTGGCAGAGTGTAATTGTTCAAAAACAGAATCAATTAAGGGCAGAGGGTATTTATTCTTTGTCGTAATCTGGTTCAGGCCTCTGTAGTCTATACAGGGTCTAAGAGTCTTGTCCTTCTACAAAAAAGAAACCTGCTCCTAGTGGAGAAGTGGAAGGCCTGATGATACCTGAAGCTAAGGATTCCTCAATGTACTTCCTCATGGTCTCTTTTTCAGGCCCAGATAGGTTATACAATCTACTGGATGGTAGGGGAGCACCAGGAAGGAGATCGATTGCGCAATCATAAGGTCGGTGTGGGGGTAAAGAGAGGGCCTTCTGTTTACTGAAGACTGGGGTGAGATCATGATAACAGGTAGGGATCTTAGATAAATCCAATTCTTCAGACGGTACCGTGTTTGCAACAAAAGGAGTGACTGCTCAGCACCAGAATCAATTAAAGCAGCAACAGAAAGGTTAATGTCTCTGATTAATAAGGTTGTGGGTAAAACAAGTCTATTTCCAGGAGAAAATATTGAATTGCCCACCAGTATCTCCTGGTCTAATGGTGTGCCTCTCCTTTTACCCTCGCTGAACAGTTTGCAATATAATGGCCAGGCTTACCGCAGTAAATGCAGACCCGAGCTGTAATCCGGCGTTGCTTCTCCTCCGGTGAAAGCCGTGTGCGTCCAATTTGCATAGGCTCTACCTCAGAGCTTGTCAGAGCTGGTAAAGGGGGATTGGACGGAGGGAGGCCGATTCCCAGAAATGGGCGTGGCTCAGATGCCGAAGCATAATGGGATCTGTAGTTCCTATGTTGCTGACATGTCCGCAGTCGACCATCAATCCGAAAGGTCCAGGTTGATAAGATCATCCAGGGAATCCGGTTCGTCACGAGTAGCCAGTTGATCCTTTATTTCCTCGGACAGAGAACTTACAAACACTCCTTTTAATGCTACTTTGTCCCAGCGGGCCTCTTCCGCTGCGACCCAGAAGTTAATAGAGTGGTCCGCTACGGACTGTTTACCTTGTCGAAGGGCTATTAGCCTCTTGGAAGCCTCCTCTTGGTGACAAGGACGTTCAAAAACCCGCTGGAACTCCTGAAGAAAGGTATCAAACGTTATGTTGTCAATATTATGGGAATTGAGATAAGCCTTAGCCCATTGCAGAGCCATACCTTTGAGTGAGCTAATCAAAAACGTTATGCGGGACGCGTCTGAGGCATAAGTGATAGGGGCACGAAGGATGGCCAGTCTGCATTGGAGAATAAAGCCGCCACAATCACTAGTCTTACCATCAAAAAACTCAGAGGGGCGAATATCAGATTCACGGGTTACCGTAGTGTTAGCGCTGGGTGTCGCATCAGGAACTGGAGGCGAATTGTTCGCAACTTGAGCCTGGGGTAAGAGAGCAGTTAATTTCTGATTTAGTGCAAACAATGTGCCACCCAATTCTTCCATATTGGACTTAGAGGTCTGTTGTTGGGCAATAATCTGTTCTAATTTGGCATCCCGTTTGTCAATTATCTTGTTTTGGAGGGATAAGGACTGCTGAATCATCTCGGTGTTGGTCAGGTCCTGGGTATCAGAGCTATTGGTTGGCTGGAACATTCTGTCAAGGTTTTCTTAATAAAGCCTCTATGGATACCCAGGAGTCAACCAAAACACGAGACCAACGACAAATAAAAGTTAATAGTTTATTTATATTGCAGGGCAGGA